TTAGTTGGGGGAGGGGGAGGGAAATGGGAGGTGGGGAGGAGGTGGAAATTTTTAATTAAAAAAAAGAAAAGAAAAATTTAGTTGAATTTTATCTTGAGCATGAATGGTTTGAACATGCCCAGTGCTGGTAAGACCAACTAAAAACAAAAACATTAGTAACTCCCAAACTCTTAAGGGTACAGACCAGTTAGTAGGGAATATGGTCCCTAACGCGGGTTAAAAACAAAGAACAAACAAAAAACCTGACCCATGTTGGAAGTAAATGTCTTTCTGCATTAATGCAAGTGGGGAAAAAAGAAAAGAAGTGCACACAAGTCCTACTGCTACTTCTGCTTTCCTGAGACGGAGATAGTTAAGTCCTTACTAGGAGGGAAGTCAGAGGGCTGAGCAAGAAAAAAGAAGAGCTATAGCCAGGAGAGTACTTTCACCAGACAAAAGAGTCTAAAACCCGGACAGTGAAAAGGGCTACCAGGAGGCCCGTGACAGTGAACAAATCCTGACACTGACCCACCCAGTATGAAGTTTCCTCCAGTAGAGCATAGGAAAGGGTAAGATAGTTACTGGATCTATCCCATCACTGTGCTACCTACCATATGGGTTAACAAAAACATTAAGGAACTAGAAATACTAATATTAGCTCATTTTTACTGCACTTATTACTATGGCCATGCTTTACATAAATGGTTCACATAAGCTCTTTTACTACCCAGTTGATGATTTTTCAGTTTAGACATGAGTAACATGACAAGAAGTAATAAAACTGTTTGACATGGTCATGTAAGAAGCAGAGCCATATACAAACCTTGAGATTCCATTAATTTGGAAACAGAAATGAAACTGTTTTAGAATAAGTACACATTTTAGTAACAAAATTTCAATTCCAAGTGACTTTATAATGGTTAGCAGCTGGCATAGAATTTAAAGGCTCAGTCCTGTTAAAACTGCAAAGAAAACTAGAGTAGCAAGCTTCCTTTACACTAGTACATGAGATATTTGTTTTCATGTGTTATCTCATTTATCCTAAAACTGTTAACACAAGGTAGATCTATAACCTGACAAAGAAAACAATGCTCAGAAAGCGGTTACTTTGGTAGACCTCTTATTCCATCCCAGGAAAATTAGGTGGCCTCTCCCTCACGCTTTTGCCACTAGACACTCAAAAAATCAGGGGTAAAGGCTTGTTTGAATTCACTCAGCAGAAAAGGCTCTAGTTGCTTGTTCTCATTGTAAATACTTTCCGAACGTCATTTTATTCCATTAAGTGAAGGAAACTATGACAAGCTTTTGTTACCATACTGCAACTAAAGAACTGAAAACTGAAGAGAGTAAAAGTCACTATGTCCGGTTCTCCAACATAAACACTGATGCAGGGCTGGAAAGATAGCTCAGTAGTTAAGAGCACTGGCTGCTCTTCAAAGGACCTAGATTCAATTCCCAGCACTCACACTGTGGTTTACAACTGTAATTCCTGTTCCACAGGATTCAATGCTCTTTTCTGGTTTCCACAGACACTGCATGTATATGGTGTACAGACACGCATGCAGGCAAAATACTTATGCACATAAGCAAAGAACAAAAGAAACAGATAACAAGTTATTAAGACTTAATAACTTTGCAGTGATGCAACAAATTAAACTGAAATAATTTAGATTCATCCAAGCTTACAAGTTTTGCTTTGTGTTTTTTTGGTTTTTTGAGACAGGGTTTCTCTGTAGCTTTGGAGCCTGTCCTGGAACTAGCTCTTGGGTAGTCCAGGCTGACCTCAAACTCAGAGATCCACCTGCCTCTGCCTCCTGAGTGCTGAGATTAAAGGTGTGTGCCACCACCACTTGGCTACAAGTATTTTTTTTTCATTGAGAGTAAAATCAGAAGCCGGATGCATGGCTTTAATGTAAGTACTTGAGAGGCTAAGTTTGAGGTCAGCCTGGTCTACACAGTGAGTTCCAGGACAGCCAGGGCTACAAAGTAAAACCCTATCTCAAAAAAACCAAACCAAACCAAACTAAAACATTACCAAACCAAATCAAAAACTGAATGGAAGAGAGCAAGATAATAAAATTCAAGTTAAAGCCATCTTACGAAACATCTTTTTCTTGACTGAAAAAATTGAAAAACAACAATATCAAGTGAAACAGATTATATATCCAATGAAGCTCATATCCTAAAACAAGACCGACTGCAGTAATACAACGGCACGAATTTACAGAAGAGATGAATGGCGGCTATGAAGAATATAACTATGAGAAACTGTATTAATAAAACATTTTTGTTGCTGAAAATATTTAGTTAGGTTTCATAAGCTTAGAAATTCAGCTTTTAACTCATGCTGTAACTACCTTTACCTCAGAAAGACATATTAAATAAGGGTTTTTAGTATTTTTTATTTTGAAGCGCAAGCACTAAATGCTTGGTTTAATTTTTCTTTTTTTCTTATGCATGCTACTACTTGTGAATGCAGGGGTATATGACTTCCTCCTCATTCTTCTGGAGGCAGAGTCTCTCAACCAAACCCAGAATTTGCCAATACAGATAGCACAACTAATCTAGTGAGTCAGATTACTCTGGGGACCCTTAACTCCACCTTTCAAGGCTGAAAATACAGATGAGCCACTAGGTGTGGGTTCTGGGGATCTTAACGCCAGCTCTCTTACTTGCTTGGCAAGTGTTTTACCACTGAGCTGTTTCATCTCTCCAGCCCATTAAAACAATTTAAAATCATGTCTTTTCAGCCTTTTATTCTAGTATTAAATGAATGTGAATGATCTACACTTCATTTACACAGGTTGAGGGTGACTTTTACAAAGAAAGTATTTTTACTTAAGAAACTAAACCTGGGTCTGGAGAGCTTAATGGTAAAGAGCACTTGCTGTTCTTGCAGATGAACTGAGTTCAGTTCATATTCTCCACATGGTGGCTCACAGATAACTGTGACTCTAGTTACTGGGGATACAATGTCCTCCCTCCTCTGACCTCTAAAGGGCACTGCGGGAAGTGGTGCTGATACAAGCATGCAGGCAAGACACTCATACATATAATCTTTTTAAAAAACCAAAAGAAAACAAAAACAATCTACAAAGATGTAGCCAGTATCCAACTAAAATTGACAGAAAGTCACTCTTTTGAAATGTTGATTTCTTTTTTAAGGAAACACAAAATCTTGTACTTACCATATACATTAGTATATCTCTAATCATCACCATGGCTGTTTGATGATCATTCCAAGCTTGATTTAATGTTTGAAGAAAGTTGTTATTCAATGAATTTAGTACATCTTCTCGCACCTATTAACAGAACAATTCATTAGTTTATGCACATAAATACTCATACATATACATGCATGTTATTATTTGTTCAATAAAGTAATCAAGTAGAATCCTTAGCTTTAAATCAAAATATTAAGTTACAGGGCCAGGCAGAAGTTAATCTATAACACACAGCAGACTACCAAATATGCTCATAAAATCCAGATTTCTCTCTTAAATTCTAGAATCAAAAGCCAACTCCTAGGCATTTCAAAATACCCAGTGGCTTAACAATGTAAAATAAAATCCCAAATCCTTAGTGAGTAAGTCTTTATTCTTGGCTCCAGGCTACCAGGCCCAATGTCCTTGTACATATTCCCCAGGGATGAAGCTGAAAGACCACGGATATGGAGGACAGCTGCCTGAGTGCATGAAAGTTCTAGGTCTCTGAGGAGCTCTGTGACTTTGGAAACATTTCACCTACGAAACTTGATTTTCTGACATATAAAATAGTATCCTCTTGCAGGATTGAAAGGACAACATCTAAGGTACTGAGAACAGTGCCTAATCTCTAAACACGACAAATGCAAACCTCCAGCAGCAACCATGACTGGCCATTGTGCTGCTCACTCAAATCCCATTCAAATCACTTCAATTTCTTCTACTTAAATTTCACCCCCAGTCTTCCTTGACCTCTTCTTCTCTCCCTCTCCCCACCTACAGTATTTCAAATCTCTCTACAGATACATACTCTATTTCTATCTCTGTATAATACATTCTATTTCCAGTTTTCTACTTCTTTACCTTCTGCTTACATTTTTCTTCCTACTACTCATTGTTATCTGACTACATTATATATTTATTGCTTCTTCCACTAAAATCTAAATGCCTCCATAGTGGAAGAATGTCTCTTTTTAGCTGTTCCTCCATCACAAATAGTACAGTGCCTGGTATAGAAAAGATCCCATCAACTGTGAGTCACTTTCAACAAGTTAAACATTTTCATGACGTTTCCTCGTGTCTGATATGCCTTCTTAATCCAACCCCAATAGACCACTCACCCTTAGAAGTCTTTCCTATCTACAAGCTTGTTACCACCTTCCCTAAGTTTCCTGTTGTGCTCTCAGCCCAATGGAAAGATTATTTGCCAGAAGACAGACTCTTCATGTAATTCTTTGAAATTACAGTTGGACTTTCATATCCATGTGTTCCACATCCACATATTCAAACAACAATCAATCAAAAATAAAATATTTGGGAGAAAAAGCCTGTTTCCTACTGAAAATAAATACACCTTTTGCTCTTGTCATCATCTCCAAGCAAACACAGCATTAAAAACCTTTTTATAACATTTGTACTATATTTGCTATATGTAATTCAGAGATGAGTTCAAGTACAGGAGTATGAGCTGGACAGAAGTACATGCAGATTTTACACATGAGAACTAACTGAACACTTACTGAGTCTGGTTGCTATGGGGACCTGGAACCAATCCTAGAGGACAAGAAATGAATACTATGCTGCATACCTCTACAAATATTCAGACTCAAAAGTCTTCCATGGTCCAACTCAATTCTCATTAATTCCAACCTAATCAAGTCTATAATACCAAACATATGTCAAACCTTGTTAAATTAGGGAGAATCTCAAGCCATGGTACACTTTTGAAATATACTAATTAATGAATCAAGATATACATATCTATAAAACTGAGTTTTAAATGTATGTGAATAAAATGTCATTCCATAAGAAATCAATTACTAAGTCAAAGATAAAAAAAACAGAATGCCTTTAACATACAACACACTAAGTTAAAACCAAGAAAATTGTGCCTGATTTTTGTTTAACTTTTGAACTAACATTTTGTGTGTTTACATGCATGCACACGCATGCATGCATAGATGTGTCTATATGTATGGGAGTGTGAATTACACCCTGTCCATGTAAAGGCCACAGAATAACCTGTGAAAATTGGCTCTATATAAGTAGGTCCTAGATAATGAACTCAGACAGACTTGACAGAAAGTAATACTCCATTTTATTAAATGTTAGAGAAATATAAGTTATTAGATTTTAATTGTGAGATCATACATATAACCTACCCTATGAGTAGTATGAAAACTACTAGCCTATATCATAAACCCAGAATATGATATATTTTGGCTTTTAAGACTGAGCACCTTAATTTTAAGGTATAGCCTCTGGAGTTCTTTCCTAAGTACACTGATTATACCAAAAGATACACACACACACACACACACACACGCGCGCGCGCGCATGTGTGCACATTAGCTGATAGAGCTGTTAATCAAATACTTTTACATAAAGTTAATATAACTGTAAAATTATACTAATGGGTAGATATATAATTTCAATCTACATATTGAAGTATTAAGTGATTAAGTGTAGGGCTTGTCAGTTGCAAATATTAAGGTACAGAACACACACGCAGAAGTTGAAACATTCCCATTTACAAATGCTTTGGGTAAGCTCCATATACTTCACTGGACCACTAAGTTTTGAGAAGTAATTAAATGAGAACCTGACAATGCAGGGCAGGTGTGGTAGTAAACAACTGGGACCCAAGCACTGGGAGGAGACAGAGACATAGAATCCTAAATCCCAAAGACAGTTTTGGGTTATAAACCAAGACTCTATGAAAAATAAAGTGCTTAGATAATCTACACATGAAAAAGTCTTGTATTCCAAATACTAAAACATCTAGCCAACTATATTAAGAACTGAACTTTCATAACTACTACAAAATTGAGTTAATGTGAGCTGTATTAAATCACTCCAGTTTGAGAATACATTTCTAATCAGAAAATTATTTCTAAATGTATTCAACACATTTGTTGAATGAATGACAAAACTGACCAATCAAATAAGTTAATATTACAAAATATGTTCTCTAAAATGTGCTAATTTACTTTAATATATCAACAAATATTTCACATAATATAATGTTTACAATCTATATCAGTGTGGTGGTGATGTCCTCCATAATTGTGCATTTGAATACTTGGTCCTTAGTTGGTGGCTGTAAAATGAGTAGGTATGTCCTTGCTGAAGAGAGTATGCTGCAGGGAACACCTGTGAGAATTCAAAAGCCAGGTGTAGTTTCTCATGAGTTCTTTCAAAGCTTCCTGTTTTGGGTCTGAGATACAAGCTCTCAGTTATCCCTGCCTCTGTGTCTGCTGCCTGCTGCCATACCGTCCCGTCATTGTAGACTCTAAACCTCTGGAACTGTAAGTCACAAATAAACCCTTCTTTCTATGTGTTGTTTGGGTCATGATGTTTTACTACAGTAACAGAAAACTATGACAACCAGCCTCTGTACAAAATTAAAAACACATTAACCAGCACACATTGCAAATGATGCTATTTGCATCATTTTCCAAAGAACTGTTCTATCAGTTAATAGTGAACTTTTGTGAGGTAAAACCCAGACCCAGTAAGACAGACACTGTACATACTCACTCATAAGTGCATACTAGACATAAAGAAAAAGATAAACAGGCTACAATCCACAACTCCTAAGAAGCTAGGTAACAAGAACCCTAAGAGAGACATGCATGGATGCCCCTGGGAGGCAAAATAGATAAGATCTCCTGGGGGCAGGGGACAGAAAACATGAGGAAACAGAATGGTTGAGTTGCAGGAGAGACAAAAAGGGGGAACATTGAAGGAGCTATCTTGATATAAGGAGCGATTATGGGATTAGGGAGAAACCTGGTGCTAGGGAATACCCAGGAATCCACAAGGATGACCCCAGCCAAGACTCTAAGCAATAGTTGAGAGTGCCTGAACTAGCCTTCCCCTGTAATCAGATTGATGACCACCCTAATTGTCATCATAGAACCTTCAGTCAGTAACTGATGGAAGCAGATCCACAGCTAAGCACTGGATGGAGCTCCCAGAGTCCAATTGAAGAGAGGGAGGAGAGGTTATATGAGCAAAGGGGTCAAGATCACGATGAGACAACCCAGAGATACAGTTGACCTGAGGTAGTGGAAGCTCACTGACTCTAAACTGATATCTGGGACACTAACATAGGACCAAACTAGGCCCTCTGAATATGGGTTCTGTGGCTTGAACAGTTTGTGGGGCCACTGGGCAGTGAAACAAGGATTTATCCCTAGTGCATTAACTGGTTTTTTGGAGCCCATTCCCTAGGAAGGGATACCTTGCTCTGGGTGAGAGGCTTGGTCCTGCCTCTACTTGGTAAGCCAGACTTTGTTGACTCCCCATGGGAGGTCTTATTCTTTCTGAGGAGTGCATGAGGGGTTGATTGGGAGAGGAGGGGAAACTGTTGTTGGTTATGAAAATGAAAATTATTTTTTAAATAAATAGCTAGCTTTAACAGGGTAGAAAAAAAATCAGACTAAAAGTTTTGATTGTTTTATTTGTTAAAGACTTATTTATATGTATGAATAGTTGTCTGCAGGTATATATGTGTATTATGCACATGCAGTTCCCGTAGGGTCAAAAGAGGGAGTTTAAACCCGAGAATCCTAGAACTTCACTGTGAGTCTCCTGTTGTGCATGATGGGAAACAAAACAAGCCCTCTGCAGGAGCAGCAAGTGCTCTTAATTCCTGATCTTTCTCCCAAGTCCTATGATTTTTAAAAGCCTGGGCATACACACAAAACTTAACAAAAATAAAGTAACTTAGACAGAACTGTTATACTATTCTTATTTATCTGTATACTACGAGAAAATTCTTTTAACAATTTCCTACAGAAATCTTTCTACCCTTAAGAAATAAAAGACATTTACTCAGACGTGCAATAAAAAGTAAAAACAAGATGAAAATTGCACATTTATGAAAAATTAACAATTTCTTAAAAGAGGATAAGCTGGCACAGAAACTAAAATGTACATAAGTTAATAAATAACTGACCTATTTTTTAATTAACACAAAAATTGAGAATAGTATAGCAATGTGTATCTGTGTAGTAACATTGTTAATCATTACTTATTTTATTTTTCCACCAGCAGGGCAAGTGGCCAGAGTCTGCTGTGGGGCAGTACTAGAA